TCCACCTCAAATTGATTAAAACCATTCTACATTTCCATCTTATAAGGCACTCTATCTTGGAGCATTCTACTGGGCAAATTAGATTACTGATTTCTTAAAGGAAACAAAAAGGAGACTTGCTGAAGGAAATATCTCTGCTCTTCCTGTTGTATTCTACCTAGATTTTGACATATCTTCCAATTTATCACCAAGACCTTTTTACTAAAATTCCATAATTTTTTGAAATAATTCATATCTATTGTATAGCTCATAACATGATCCAACAATTTGTAAAATTTCTTGAATTCACAGCATGCATGTTTCTGAAGTTGTCATTAGTTATTTTTTCTTGTTCTGAATCCAAGTTCCATCATCACCAAGCAAATCCAAAACAGAGAAAAAGACCATACAAAAAGCACAAGCATGATGTCCAAAATGTCTATTATCAAAAAACAGTTGAGGCGAATTTGTTGCAAATTACATCTTGTCAGCTGGGGCAATAGGAAGCCCACTACTGATGCTGAGTGGAAATGGACCTGGCTCTCATCTTCAGGATCATGGCATCCCAGTGGTGGTAGACCAGCTCATGGTTGGCCGAGGGGTGACTGATAATCCAATGAATGTACTATCCATTCCCTCCCCTATCTCAGTTGAGGTCTCACTCATCCAAGTTGTGGGCATTGCTAGTTCTGGCAACTAAATTGAACATCCAGTGGTACAAGCTCTATTCCAGTTACGACTCAGAGATCTCTTGAAGGCTATGAGTTAACTTACATCACGTTTATAGCTTATAAAGTTTGGCCCATAAGAAAATAAATTTAAAAACTGTTAATAACCTAATCTCTAGTGGAAAGCTAAATTCATCAATGATTTGTATGTACATACATGGTCAAAGATTGCACGGTGACAGCCAATCAATTATGCTTTTACACTCTTAGTTCTGCGTGCTCTCATCAGGGTTTTGGTCACTCAAAACAGGAAAGCCCTCTGCAGTGACACCAGAAGCAATGTCTAGAGCTGTTGCTACTTCATTTTCCTTGCCGATCCATCCATGCAGAGTGGAAGGATTCTAGAGAAGGTAATCGGTCCACTCTCAACCGGCGAACTCAAACTCAGGACCAGGAATCCTAACGACAAACCCTTCTGTCACATTTATCTACTTCAAGGAACCCGAAGGCCTAAAAATGCGTGTTCAAGGCATGATAACCGTCATAAATGTTGCTATTTCCAGAGAACTCTCGAAATATGCCAGTGGAAGCTCTCCTTGACTTGACTGCGAGGCTCCCTCTGAACCAGAGACCAAGACATTTTGGTACAACATTTTCCTTGGAACAGACACTGTCATGGCCATACCGTCAAGTTGGGAAGCTTGTTGATCATGATTACAAGGCTCTTGATGTGGATGGCCTTAAGGTTACTGATGGTTCAATATTTATCCACTCGCCATGATGCTTGGAAGGTAAGAACTAATTGTAAATATTCCCCGAATTAGCATTGCTAAAGGAACTTAATTTTATTAATCAATAGGTTTATAAGGTTGTAACCAAGATAGAAGGCACAGAAAATAACAGAATATGTCCCGGTACCATGAAGAAGTAGCTCCTTTACTGGGGGGAGCGGGGGTAGCCTTTTGAAACGGATATCCATAGCGTTATTCATAGCATATGCCAATACTTCAAGAGTTTATTCCATCTTCAGCAACCCATCCGAGTGTTTATGAAGCTTGTTGAGGAAATCAGGAAAACCATAATATTGTCCTTAAACATCAATTCTCTAGCAAAAGAGTTGCAGGGCACCTCTCTTTCTTGGCAGAAATTACTAATGGTGCCTATAGCTTCAAGCTGAGAGGGTATGCGAGAATCTTGATCCCAATATAGGCTTGCCAAAGGAGAGTTTTCCTGTGACTGTTTTTGCTTAAACTATTATTAAAAAAAAAAAAAAAACTCTTACTGATTGTTCAAGATACGTAGAAGGAAATAAAAAATTAATTCATACAAGATAGATATTAAAATTTAACAACAGATACTAGATTTGTGAAAATGTAATCCCAAAATTAAATTCTAAGAAAGGTAAAGCAATAAACCAAAAACCTTAAACAGAACTAAAGTTCATGCTTTCATAGCTCCTTCCAGGTGCTATACATCATTGCACCTAAAGCCATGAAAACTACCACAGTCACAGCTTCATGCAAGACCAGGAACAAGCCTTTCACTACACCTGTTGACCCTTCAACTTCCTTCTTTTCCTTTTTATTGCCCTTCTTGAGCTTCTTCTTCTCGACAGGCCTCATGTTGCCAGCGTCACTCCGTTTGGTCTCCTCCGAAATCTCAGCCTCTTCTTTTTCGTTCAAATCAAGCTTGTGATTCTTCACTTTCTTCTTGTTGTTGAGGTCTCTCCTTTTGTCCTCTAAGTCCTTCACAAACTCACCATTCTTTTCCTTTTCTTTTCTGGGTTCAGCCTTTTCTTGGGCTACAATCTTCCCATCAATCTCCTTGTTATCATAAAAATAATCCTCCTTCCTTTTCTCCTCTTGTTCATCAGTGTCATGGCTATACACCACCACCAAATTTTTCTTAGTTGCAAGATCACCATCCGAAACTTTACTGTCATTACGAGCAATTAGTTTCTCTAGCCTTCGTTGTTCCTTCTTTTTCTTGGCCAAGGCTTCAGCTTTAGAGACCAATTTTGCCACATCAATATCGCCTCTTTCATCCCTCAATAGATCAAAAATATTATCATCCGAAATCAAAGAAGACATTTTCTGCAAATTATGATGATCTAGCAGTAATCGTTTTGTAAAGCAACTGGCAAGAGAATCTTAAAATCAAAAGATTTAGCTTAATTTCTATGTCGAACAAGATATGCCAACATGTATATATACACACAAAACTTATCCTTAGTGCTAAGGACGTTGGATTTGGGCCAGATTTGGATTTTTTACTTTGATTTGGAGACTAAAAAAGTCTTTGTATTTGTTTCGGATTAGGATTTAATTAGGAGAGGTATAGACTGTTTGTGTCCAATGTAATTAATTAGTAATTAGTGAGGGAACACGTTATGTAGGAGACATAGATACGCTGACGAGCACTCTTGCACGTATGATTTCAAGACTCTGGATCGAAAACTTTTGGCTAAGCAAAATCATAGAATATATTATGGATATTAGGGATTCTTTAAGACGGTCTTCTTTGTAAATATATATGCAAAGAGAACCTTTTTTTTTTATTAAAAAAAATATAGACTAAATCAATGAAAAGAATCTTAATTATTATTTATTTAAACAAAAATTGTTATGAACTTTTTTTTTTTGACAAAATATAGATCTCTAGTGCATGTAATTTTGGCTAAGCATGTAATATAGATCTCTTGTGCATGTAATTGATATTGTATAGATCTCTAGTGCATGTAATTTTATGGGTGTAACATTTGAGTTCTAACCAATAACCATCACAAGTTTTGAACTCAAGAAAAATTTATTTACTGATTAAGAAATATTTGTTTGATAGTGTGTTGTCCTAAACGTTATACATATTTCAAGAGTGCAAAGTGAAGAATTCTTCTTTAAAAAAAAATATTATAAATTTCCAAGTTTTCTTTTTTTTTTACATGGCCAAAACATTATTAAACATTAAAAGTATATTGCTATTTATTTATTTATTTTTGAGGTAGATAAGGAGTTTCCCACAAGGAACTTTATTGAATTAATTCTCAATATTTATGTATCTCTCCGAAATAATTCTACAGTAGATGGAAATATAGCAATTTATTGCATGAAAGATCCACATTTCCCCAAACAAAATATGTTCTCTTCTGGTCTTCTTTTGAATTGAGGATGAAATAAATGTCTTTGGTGTTCCATTTTTCTCTTGTATTGATGCAAATTAATGAGGAAAGCAACTACTACTATGTAGTTCTTTCGAAATTCTTTCATTTGTATGCATTAATGAGCAAAAAAGGAGGGCTGGAGGGCTGTAGAGGGCGAGCACTTCCATCTCAAAATACAAAAAGGGCCTCGTATGAAATTAAAGCAACAGCCAGATAAGAGTAGATGATCAAGGCCATAGTCATCAGTTCTCAAGAGTCATGCCAATGTTTAGTCTGGTCACTGGAATGGTACTGATGTTTGTAACGGTATGCTTGGTGGGTTCGTTGCTGTCACTGCTTGGTGTTCTGTGCATGGTTGAACGATGGGCTAGCTAGCTGCTTGATAATAATATGCGGGTTTGTCGCTGCTTTGGCGTTGATTGGCAGCAACAAATTGGCCGAGATTTTCAAGTTTGATGTGGGGACTTGGGGTGTCATTTTCACTACCTGATTTCTTACTTTGGTCTCATTTTCGGTGTCCACAGAAAAGGTAAAGCAAGCACATTCAACACTTATTCTAGATCGTTCTAGTTGTTTAAATTGATATTGATTTTTTTTATTATTATTAAAAGTTTTACTTCATGATTTTTTTTTAATAACATGACTCAGAATCATTAATTTTAAAGATTATCCTGTTTTGATTGAGTTTAACTTTATAAATTTTTTTTGCTTTTCTTTTTTATATCAAATCACAGGTGAATTAAATTAACTCAGGATTTTTTATTGTCTTTTTATTAATTTAACTTTGATTTTATTTTATTTTTTCGTATCCTGGTATAATATGGCTACAAGAGATGAGTAAATATACAAAAGCATGAGTAAAAGGAATAAATTTACAAGTTCAACTTTTGAATGTGAGAGTATTTGAATTAAAATAGAATTCATATTCAAAATGAAAGTAATGAAATATCAAATCCATAAATCAAAAAAAGAATTCACAAAATCCACCCCCATAAGTTCAAAAGTTACGAAAATAAATTGCACAAACTTAAAAACTACGATGAATTAAATTAACTCAGGATTTTTTATTTTTTTATTAATTTAACCCTCTTTTTTTTTTGTATCCTGGTATAATATGGCTACAAGAGATGAGTAAATATACAAAAGCATGAGTAAAAGGAATAAATTTACAAGTTCAACTTTTGAATGTGAGAGTATTTGAATTAAAATAGAATTCATATTCAAAATGAAAGTAACGTGATATCAAATCCATAAATCAAAGAAAGAATTCACAAAATCCACCCCCACAAGTTCAAAAGTTACAAAAATAAATTGCACAAACTTAAAAACTACGATCTAATTATCAGAAGCTGGGCCTTTTCTGCTGCAGCTCCGAGAATGACAACGTTGTCTTCTCATGGGTGTTTTTACAGACGAGCTCTGGAAGAACTCCAAAGTATTATACTGATCGGGAAGAGGTGGCTCAGAGGAAGTTTGTTGGGGGGGGTAGGAATGGAATTTTCCTCCTTAACGTTCTCAGTGAATTCAGGCTGGTCTTGTTTTTCTCCAAGAAGCTCCTTGGTCAGAAAATTAAAAGTGACTTTGGGATATTCGGATGAGCATGGTGACAAGCACGACTTTAACATGTACCTCAGACCTCCCTCAGAAAACTCAACAAGCTCATTCTGGAATTCCTTCGAGGCTTTGAAACTATCGATGCCTTCCACCCTTCCTTTTTCTATAGCATATTTTAGCCTGTTAGCTCAATTAGCTTTCAGATCATTTAGCTCCTTTTCGAGGTCTTCAATCCTGGACAATACTTCAGAGTACCTGCTCTTGACGTGCTGATACCCCCCGAGTCCTTTCTAATGACTTGCTCAAAGTCTCCTTCTCCACGTCAGTGCATGCTTACCTGCTCTTGACGTGCTGATACCCCCCCTGAGTCTTTTCTAATGACTTGCTCAAAGTCTCCTCCTCCACCTCAGTACTGCATGTTGAGAAGTCTTGATCGACTCAAGCTGCTGCAAAAGATCAGCTCGTTAGACCATGATCGCAGCCTCAGTTTCCCTTAATACTTCTGAAGCAGTGTGTTATCAAGAGAGCATGAGTATTAATGCATCAGTTGTGAGAATGTGAAACAAAAAGTACATGAAAACAGCACTTACCACAGAAGTGTGATTGTATGAAGAATGAGTGTTCACGATGCTCTTCAAGAAAGATTTGATCTGATAGGATTTTTAACAATAAACGAATGCGCTTGTCCTGAGGATGTCTTGTATCTCCAACGATGAACTCATGAGCCTTGCCATCCAACTCTATAACAGTTGACCCTGGGGGTTTTTTAATACCTTTCTCCTTCATCAATCTCCTTATTCTCGTGACATCATCCCATCTTTGATTGATAGCATGTATATTGGAAAGCAGCACATAAACGCCACTATCATGAGAGTCTAACTCTACAAACCGGTCTAGTATTTCTTGTGGCAGTTCCGCATTCCCATTTTCCTTGCAAGCACTAAGAAGAGCTCCCATTATCCGAACATCAGGTGACATGGGCATAGCCTTTGTCAATTCCAACGCCTCATCCAAGAGTCTAGCCCTACAAAGTAAGTCCACCATGCATCCATAGTGTTCTAACCTCGGAGGAAGATTATATTGCTGACTTTTCATCCAATTAAAGTACTGACGCCCTTCATTGACCAAGCCACAGTGGCAGCAGGCTGTCAAAATTGCTAGAAATGTCACCTCATTTGGCCTCATGCCTACCCTAACCATTTCTTCGAAAAGTTCAAGTACCTTGTAGGCATGCCCGTGCATAGCCAAGCCATTTAGCAATGCATTCCATGTCAAAACATTCTTATGAGGCATTCCATCAAAGATCTGCATTGACTTCTCTATACATCCACACTTTGCATACATGTCAACCATAGCAGTTCCAACCTGAATATCCCACTTGATTGCCTTGCGGTCGATGTGCTCATGAACCCATCTGCCATAATCAAGAGCTCCAAGACTGGCACAGGCTGAAAGCACACTGGTAAGTATAATCCCATCAGGCTCAATACCAGAGCTTTGCATATCCTGAAACAACTCCAAAGCCTCCTTCGGACAATTGCATTGCACCAATCCACTTATAATACTGGTCCAAGAAACAATGTCCTTCTCAGCAAGCTCATCAAATACTTGTTTTGCTCCAGGCAAACACCCACACTTCACATACATATCCATAAGAGCATTGCTAACCTCCAAACCTACCCCAAACGCACTCTTGAAACTCAACCCGTGAATCCCCTTCCCTACACTCAAATACCCCTTTCTCCCACAAGCAACTAATACGCTAACAAAAGTTGCAGCATTAGGCTCAACATCCATCCTCAAAAACAAAACCACAGCCTCATCAAACAAGCCTGCTCTCACATACCCTGATATAACACCAGTCCAAGAAACCACATCTCTCACAAGCATTTCATCAAACAATCTGCTAGCATCACCAAAACTCTTACAAACACTGTAAAAATGAACAAGAGAATTTTCAACATAGATATTACATACAAAACCCATCTTAATAATCACCCCATGAACCTGCCTACCCTCACCAATCCCCACAAACTTAGCACATGATTTCAATACAGCAGGGAAAGTAAACATATCAGGCAAAAACCCATCTTTCACTATCCTTCTATAAACTAAGAATGCAGTCTTGGGCCTATCACCAATAGCGTAACCAGAAACCAAGGCATTGAATGGAAATGAGCTGACTTTCCAATCATATTCATTCAAAAAATCACATGCATAATCAACAAAGTTAGGACCTTTTGCAAAGAACTCAACAACCCTGTTGACAACAAAGTCATTAGAAACAACCCCTGATGTTATCAACTGTGCATGGATTTTCTTGAAAGTTATCAACTTTTTGCATCTCTGAATGCTGTCTAAAAGAACCCGTTTCAGATAATGCTTAATCTTGCTCATATTCTTACTTCTTGATAACTAAATTCTCCTATGTGAAGAACAAAGAATGTAAGAAAAAACCATTGATTTTTGCAAGACAAAATATTGGAGTGAACATGTACGAAGGACACTGAAACTGGAGTCAACATTCGAAAATCAGTGACTATTGTTTAAGCAGTTGCAATTCGCGATTCAACAAACCAGTGACTATGGTGGTAATATTTTTTTTTGACAAATCTCAAAATTAGTCCTCCAATTACATGGTAAATTTTATTTTAGTTTCTAGATTATTCTTTATTAATTGAATCTAAGAAAGTTTATATGTTCTCGATTACATTTTTCCTTTCAAAACCATCAAATATTTTTATTGTGAAATTTCAACTCCTACATATTATATTTGTTTTGGTGAAATAGCTGAAAGTGTTGAAAATCAAGAAATTCATTTGTTTAATAAAATATTCTTTTGATGAATTTAAGCAAGGTGCTCGAGAATTAAAAAAAGTTTTTCATTAACAATTAAGTTCAGCTCAATGCAGATTATTAATAGAAACCCAATTCGTTAACTAACTGTTGTGGTGAATGCTAATTAATTTTTTTGCGAGGTTATTTTAGGTGGCTGCTAAATTTGATAAATAAAAAAAAAAAGAGCTTTTGAATGCCTTTCTCAAATCTATATAAAAAAAATGAATGGAGAAATAAGTCATATTATGACACAACTCCGCGTTTGATCCAATGAAGAGCGTGGTTATTGGATCATCATATCAACTCCTGGATTATAAATCAATTTATTTTTTTATTTTTTTCCTAAAATAAGTTGTTTTAATTAAAATGAAGCATTTTCAAATAAAAATGTAATCTTAGTTTGGTTATTTGTTAGATTATGATATATAGCCAGAATATTTCTCAGTCAAATCTTAATAATTAAAAAGAACTAAAATCCCTTTAAAAAGTATTGTAGTTTTAAATTCATTATTATAATTCTTGGGATAATGTTTTCTTGCTTCTACATCTGAAAAACATTATATAAACTTATAAAAACATTAAAAAAATTTCACATAGCTTATTTATCATTACTAAATAGAGTAAGAAATAATTATTTTTCCATCTTGACTACACAATGAAAATATCTTAAATTTACCTGAATGTAAAAGAAAGTGTATCAAAAGGTTTTTTAGTATTTTCATAATAATTTTTTGGTTATTCTAGTTGAAACTAGGAGACAATTTAATATGTAAACAAATATATATAAAAATAATAAACAATAAAAACTTATAATTAAATAATAAGAATATCCTTAAAATAAAAAATTTAAGCTTAAATATAATGAGTATTTTTATTTTTTCACAATAATTTTTTTAATTTTATTTTTTAATATTAGACTTATTAATTTTTAATTTTATCTTTTAATATTAGACTTATTGAATATTACACTTTATAATTTCATCATTTTTTATAATTTTTTTCTAAAGTTTGACTAATTAAATAAATTGACTCAATTGTTTTTTCTCCAATTGACTTTTTAATTTAATTAATATTTGGTTGATTACTAATTAAACTTTTTGATTTTTTCTGGTTTTTTTTGTTATTATTATTTCATGATTTGGATGATAAATTTAATGAGTTAATATGGTTGAATAGAGTCATTTTTTAGTTAGTTCTTTTTTCAAATTTATTTTTTAATATTGGATTGATTGGAAATTAAGTTTCATAATTTGTTACAATTTTCTCTTTATTAAGTTATTCTAGTTTTATTACTCAAGTCACAAGTTTACTAGGTTAACCCGGATTAACTAAGGTTTTTTTTATTTTTTTATTGATTTTTTTAATTTTATCATGATTGGAAATTAAGTTTTATAATTTATTACAATTTTCTCTTTATTAAGTTATTGTAGTTTTATGATTCAAGTCACGAGTTTACTAGGTTAACCCGGATTAACTAAGGTTTTTTTTATTTTTTTATTGATTTTTTTAATTTTATCATTTAACATTTAATTTATAAAAAATTAAATTTTATAAATTATTTTGATTTATTTTTTTATACAATCATTAAGATTTCATAACCCAACATGCAAATTAACAAATTAATTCGGATTTATTTTTATTAATTAAATATATTATTGTCTCAATATCTATAAAAACTATTTTATTTTAAATATTTATTTTAATTAAAACTATATATTTTTATCTATCATTTAATTATTATTTTCACTTGCCAAGTTAAGAGGATAATATTAAATTTAATTCACAACGAAAAACAGGCAAATGAATTTTATTCTTTAACCTATATCAGTAAAAAAACAACTATTTTTCATAATTCAAATTAGTTTTCTCAGAACAAATGGATCAAAGGGAAGATATTATCACATTCATGAGAGTTTTACAAATGAATGTCTCCCGATTATGATAATAGGTTGAATTGATACGGAAAATTCAAAATTATCTAATTTTTAACCACCACAAAATCCTAATTTGAAAAATAATTATTAATTACTTACCCAACCTAGGCCAAATTGAAAAAACACCGCAAACAGTTCATCTTCATCTTATCCAAGATAGGTCCACCACGTGTCACAATCCCATCCGTTGATGCTTCTTCTTCCCCAAATATATAATCTGGTTTGAGGGTCCCTCTCTGCAAAGATAAGGGGGGCTAGGGCTTAAAGAAATTTTTGAATTTCACTAAAATTAAAGTTGATTCAATCTGGGTTTCATCAATATTTTCGTGGGTCCTAGTTAATTTTTTCTAGGTTTTTCTCAATTTCTTTTTTAACCATGGACTCACCACCCCACCACCACCACCGTACCCTTGAAAAAATAGACAAAGAACAGAGCATAACCACAGCAAGTCTCTCTAGCCAGCCAGAACTCAAAGACGATAACTTAACAGACCCAGAAGAAAGCCAAGAATTTGAGGAACACGACAACAATGAAAGAATCAACAACGGTTCTTCTTCTTCTTCTCTTGTTTTACATCAAGTACAGAGAAAGCAACAGCAAGTGGTAATTGCAGCAAAGAGGAACAGAAAAGACAGGCACACAAAAGTAGAAGGTCGAGGACGGAGAGTTCGGATGCCAGCAACATGTGCAGCCAGGATTTTCCAGTTAACTCGAGAACTAGGTCACAAGTCTGAGGGTGAGACAATAAGTTGGTTGCTTGAACACGCAGAGGCAGCAATAATTGCAGCAACAGGTACAGGTACAGTACCTGCTATTGCTGTTTCTGTTAATGGAACGTTAAAAATCCCAACTGAAACACCACCTAGAACAACAGCTGAAGCGGACATTGATGCTGTTGGTTTGGTGCCTAATAAAAAACGTAAGAGACCTTGTAATAGTGATTTTGTTGATCTTACAGAAGCCGCTCATCAGAATTCAGTTTCTTCAGGTTTGGCTCCTATTGCTAGTACAAGTCCACAAGGGCTGGTGCCAATTTGGCCAATGGGGACTCTTCTGTTCCCACAAGGGAGTAGTGTTAGTGTTGGTGTTGGTGAGTCTAATCAGGCTCCATTTTGGGCTTTTCCTGCTGCCAGTACAACTCCATGTTTTAATATGGCTGCGAAGCCTATTTCTAGCCTTGTTTCTGCTATGCAGCCTGGGGTCCAATTGGCTGGTAATGTTGGTGTTGGTTTTGGTGGAGGTGGGTCGCTGGGGTCAGGTGGGTCACCTTCTAATAACATTGGGTCAATGAGTTCCTCACTCAGGATCAAGTAGCACGAGTGCTAGTACTGGGGGCGGCGGCGGCGGCGGCTCGCAAACGTTAAGGGATTTTTCTTTGGAGATTTATGATAAGAAGGAGAATGTCTGGGCCATCGTGTGAATCATGATCATCAACAAGCACCATGGTCAGAATCTTGCATTTTGAGATGACTGGCTTGCGTTTAATCAACTTGGGGGGTCACCACAAATGTTAATGCAGTAGTGACAGTGTTTTACGATAAGGGAGCGGTTTTTTTTTGTTTGTTTGTTTGTTCTTAGGTTCTAGTACAAGAACATGGTTTTTATTTTGGTTTTGTTTGTTATCATTGTGGGATTTTTGGATGTTAAGCCCTTTTGTCTTCACTTTGTTCTTATCATTGATTCTTTTCTCCCGGTTCTTTATGGAAAGTTTGGTTTGGTCAACCTATACGGTATGTTGGGAAAAGTTGACCATTTTTAGCAAAAAAATAAAATGAAAAAAGTGTGGTGATAATTATAATTTTTTTATAATATATTAAATTATTTTTTTTGTTTTCAAAGAATGTGGTGTAATGATTAGTACTTAAAAGTACATTTTTATCATGGTTTTATATCATCATCAAAACATATGTTTTATATAAAAATTTGAAATAATTAAGATTTTATTTATTTATCTAAATTTATAAAATATGTTTTTTAAAGGGTATGATTTCCTTAAATCTAAAAAAAATTATTAAAACATATTAAAATCACAATTACAAACTTAATGAATTGTGATGGATTAATTCAATGACACGGAAACTTACTCAAACTTGATTTGAATTGATTTAATTTGAAATAAGTTTTTTTAAAAAAAAAAAAATCAAAACTGAAGCTTTATCTTCTTTTATTTTGACTTCGGTCTCGAGAGTATTTAAGATATCTTTACCAAATACAAGAAAAATCCCTGAAAGCAAAAAAAAACTTGAAAAACATAAGGTTTGCCTTGCGCATGCAAGGTGGGTCCCGCTGATTTTTAGGCAAGCGGTGTTGATTTGCATAGGACCGATGGGTTAATTTTTTTTTTAAAAAAAAAAAACAAAGGTGTCCATTCTGTTTCCTCATGTCCGGTGGATTTTATTCGAAAAACAGAACAAATCCAAATAAAATTAGAGTTTATTTATTACATATTTTTATTATTTTTTAAAATATTTTTTTATTTAAAAATATATTAAAATAATATTATTTTTATTTTTTAAAAAATTATTTTTTATATTAGCAAGTTAAAATGATCTAAAAATATTAAAAATATTAATTTAAAGTAAAAAATAAAATAAAATATTTTAATTTTTTTAGAGTTTTGTTTTGTTTCAAAAATTTCAGTCAAATCCCACCTAGAACATTTCTGTAAAATAATATTTAAAAAAATTATATATTTTTTAATTTTACTATTCAACCCTTGATTTATTAAAAAATAACTTTATAATTTATTATTTTTTTATAACTATCTTAGTCTTATAATCCATATTAAATATTTAACGTGTTAAAATTATTTTTTTAATTTCAATATTTATTAGGTTTTTATATTTTATATTGGTTTTTATAAAATTATCTTAGTTTCATAATATAAATTACAAGTTTTATAAATTAACTTATTTAGACTTATGTTATTTTATAATTTTATAATTTAGGTTGATGTAATATATTATTATTTTAATATTATATAAAAAAATTTGAATTGATATTTTTGTTTTAAGTCAATCACTGGTCCATACTCAAATTTAAATTGATACATTTGCAATTTCATTTCTTTGTGACAGCTCCTTTAGATTCAACCCTTCATGGATCCAAACTCTCTGTATCTAAACTCTCTTTTAATTTATTTTCTAGTATAATGTGACCGTGTTTTTAAAAAAATTAATTTATTTTTTATTTTAATTTATTTTTTGTGTATTTTCAATCTAAAGCTAAAACTTTTGTTCATCGTAGGACTTGAATAATGCTCTTGAGTCTTGAGTAACTTGAAAGGGTATAAAATCTAGATGAAAACTCGTTTTTTATGCGCATGTCTTGAGTAACTTGAGTCTCGAGTGCAATTCCATGGACGTTCAAATCATGATTAGATATCCATTCTTCTACCTTTAGAATCAAAAGACTGAATATGGCTGCTTTCGCAGCAATCTTATCGTCTTTTACAACTACCTTTTCTTTTAATGTTTTGTTTTGAATATTTTTTTAATTTTATTTTTTAAAATTTTATTTTTATATTAATTTTTATTTTTATTTTTAAAAATTTTATTTATTTTTCTCTTATCATTTTTAACTAAAAAATTTTATCCATCAAATTTAATCTTTATTCTTTTGATTATTATTTATTTTATTTGAAATAATTTATGAAACGTTAATTATTATTATGTTAATTTATTTATCTTTTAATTTTTTTATTTTTTAGACGTGTCTCTAATATTTTGATTATTATTTATTTTATTTGAAATAATTTATAAAAAATATATTTTTTAATTTTATTCTTATTCAACTTTTTAATTTGTAAGATTTGTTTTTTATTATTTTAATAAATTTTAAAAAATAAAATATCAATAAGTTATTTTCCAGAAATAACTAAATACTAGAATGTGTTTTCTAACTTATTTTTTATTATACTACCAAATATTAAAAAATAATTTTTTTTAAAAAAAATATTTTTCAAAAAAAATCATTATCCAGGAAACAACGTCGCCTAAGACATTCCTTAATGCTTCCATGCATGATCCTAATGTCCCTGCAGCTCGTATCCTTGGGAATTAGGATGTTCTTCCATGACTGCTTCGTAAGGGTATGTAATTCCTCTCTTGGCACATGTGTAAACAAATACATGATAGTAGTCTTTACACCGAGTAGCCAATGTAGAAAACAGTAAATAATATATATATATATGATCTTACTGATACTTCTTGATACAGGGATGGGATTCATCGATTTTATTGGATTCTACTCCCGGAAACCAAGCAGAGAAAGATGGCCCTCCCAATGTCTCAGTTCGATCATTTTACGTGACTGATGATGCCAAAGCTAAGCTCGAAATGGCTTGTCCACGCACGGTTTCATGTACTAATATCATAGCCATAGCAGCGAGAGATGTAGTCGCCATGGTAAAAAGAAAACAAATGCTTCCAACACAATCTTACGTGCATGTCCATACACACACACACAATTAAATGGAAAAATATTTTAGTTTTCTTTTAATATCATCTCACTTGTGATGTTTTCATCAGTCTGGAGGACCTTCTTGGAATGTGCTGACAGGAAGGAAAGATGGAAGGGTGTCAAAAGCTAATGATACAATCAACCTACCAGCTCCAAACTTCAAGGTTACTCAGCTAATTCAAAGCTTTGGTCTAGAGACGTCTAGGAGTCAGACTTGGTAGCTTTATCAGGAGACCATACTTCAGGATCCTCGCATTGCTCTTCTTTTGAAGCTATCCCGATTTCAAAACTTTAGTTCAGTTCATGATGTTGATCCAAGCATGCATACTCAGTTCGCCGAGAATCTACAGAAGAAATGCCCTAAACCAAACAAGGATGATAATGCAGGAGAATTCCTCGACAAGCTCGACCTCATCAACTTTCGATAATGATTATTACAAGAGAGTTGTAGAAGGAAAAGGTGTCTTCGGAACAGATCGACAAGATGGATTGTTGAATCATTTGCCAGCGATCAAAGTTTGTTCTTCAGAGGATTTGCAGCGTCAATGGTAAAACTTGGAAATGTCGGTAAAACTTGGAAATGTCGGGGTGATTGAAAACGGAGAAGTGAGACTTAATTGCCAAGTGGTCAATTAATTGAGAGGGAAGTGAGTACATTTCCAGGCAAAAAAAATTATTTCCTTTGCAGTCGAGGAAGGAGTCAATTTTTCTTACTGTTGGCTATTAATAAATATATAAATATATATTTTTTTTAAATTAATTATTAATTTATGTATATCAATTTTTAAAGTTAACAGTAAAATTTTAATTTAAATATATTATCTAAAATATTAAAAATAAAATTAAAATGAAAGTAAAAATAAATTTACTATTAAAGTTACATTATTCGATGTTTTGTGAAATATAATTAATTTATAATCGAATCTGAATCAATATTGTAACAACCCCTGAATCAAAATAAAATAACAATCTCATGTCAATGAGAAAATAAAGTAATTAAATTTTTTTCTTTCTCAATTCTTCCTTCCTTCACTTGATTCTTTCTTATATTAGTGTTTTATAAGTTGAACTTTGTAAGTTTCTAAGGTTATTCTCATTTTTTTATTTTTTTCTCTGAATTTTTTTTATATTTTTTTCTTTACTTTTCTCTATTCCTCTCTCGCCTTTTCTTTTCTTTTCTTTTTTTATTTTGCTTCTACCAAGTCGACAACATATAAAAGAAAGAAAGATTGATTTATTTTATTTTTTATTGACAAATAATTATTTTATCCTTAATGATTCATTTTGCTTTTATTTAATGGTCTTTTTTTTGTTAGCACTACCAAGCTACATTCATCCTAAGATTTTAATTATAATTTATTCAATATATTTTAAGATCCCTTGTAAAATTTCAACTCAATCTGATAGTTGGATTAAAAATTATGCCCAATGATATAAAATTAATCAAATTATGATTTTTTATTACATTTTTAAATTTCTCTAAAAATTATCAAATTTTAACCCAAACTAAAACATCATATTAAAAGGTTTCACGCAGATTTTTAGAATTTTTTTATAACACAATAAAAAATTATAAATTTATTTTACATACAACTAATTAAAAAAATAATGATAAAATCTTGACTTAGGCTATAGCCCACCCAAGCCTTTAACATGCCTTTGCCTTTGCTTGTCGTTGATATGTTTTGAATTAAATTTGATATTTTAATATTATTCATGTATGAGTTGCCTTTAAATTTATTATTTTCATAGTTGTAAAACTTTGATTAGCCTAATCTAATTGATCCGAAATCTTATTATTCAAATTAAAGAAAAAATAAAAGAAAATAATTAAGTTGACTTGGTCAAAAATCCAAGTTGACCAAGTCAAAACTTAGCACTTAATCCATTGATTTTATTTTGTTAAAACGATATTGTTTCAATATTTTTTACTAATTATTTTTAGTTCAACTCTTAACTCGAGCCTTGTTTCATGTTGATGCTCAAGTCAAATTTTATAATTATAAATATTATTATTGTATTTTTTTTGGAGGTGTATCATTTGAAAAAATCAACTAAAGATGGTATTTCCATGTTATTGATATATTAGTTGCCTATTTTTATAATTGTAAATTATAGATCAACCTAATAACCTAATAGGTGAATTCAGTACCTGCTAACCTAAATCAAAGAAAAAATCAGGTTAATCTGATAAAAAAATTTAGATAAACCTACTAGCTTGATTAAAACCAGGTTCTTAATCTATAAATTTTTTTATTTAT